GTAGAGCGCTAGCCTTGAGCTGAAGAGCTGAGGGACAGCGCCCAGGCCCAGAGTTCAGGCCCCACGACCGGACCCCCCCCCCAAAAAAAAAAGAAAGAAAAGAAATATACTCATTACCTTGCTCATGTAACTGTAGCCCTTTGTACAGTATTTTCACAATAAAAAACTTATTAAAAATAAGGTATATTTCTGTCTCCCCCTTTAGTGAGGTAGGCTTATGGTAGAGCCAGGAATTTATAGTTTTAAGGCACATCTAAGCAAATGTATTGTGAATTGTCCTTAGATGAAACTGAGAAACACTGATCTGCAAGGTAAAATTGAAGACTTATTCAAGAGTACTATTTTCCATAATGGACTCTAGATCTTAATTGATCGTAAACCCTTATCTTGGTCATTTTGGTGAATAGTGACAATCAGATATGAATTTAAATAACAGATAAACCACTTCCCATTTAATAACTTTTGTATCTTTGTAGAAAAACTTGAAATATAACCTTGATTTTTAAACAACTCCTAAGACATGTGTAAAGGTCAGTTAGTCCTGGAATGAGAATAGACTTGGAAATCACTTCAGTGATTACAGGTGATCAATTTCATAAGCTTAGGCCAGTAGAATGAAATAGACACACTTGGCAGCCACCTTCAATTCTCCTTCTAGATCTGATATGATACTGTGGTTATTGAATGTTCTTAAAAAGTATTTACCTTTTCCTTCATAAATAAATATATAAATAAAATATAATATTTTTATGACTACAAATTGAGCCCCTCTTAGATACTAATCTTCAGTCCAAGTTCAAACATTTTTTAAATTAGATTTTTATTTTTGTGTCTAATTTTATGAATGTAGGTGAAAGAGAATAGCATCTAGTTTGTACTTTCATTATATTATTATATTGCTAGAATCCCATGGTCTAATTGCTAGGTACGTTTTGGTTTTTAAGATATATCTTGAAGGCTGGGAAGGTGGCTCAGTGATAGAGTGCTTGCCTTGCATGCCTGAGGCCCTGGGTTCGATTCCCTAGCACCACATAAGCAAAAACAAAAAAGCCGGAAGTGGCACTGTGGCTCAAGTGGTAGAGTGCTAGCCTTGAGCTGAATAGCTGAGGGACAGTGCCCAGGCCCAGAGTTCAGGCCCCACGACCGGACTCCCCCCCCAAAAAAGATATATCTTGAGTTTTTAAAGATACAACTTTGTGAAGGGTAAGTAGAGTTGAAGGATAGTGATAAAAGGGGTGACTGATCAAGGTACATTGTATGCATATATTAGCATGTCAGAATAATACATCCTTGTACAACCAATTGATATTAAGTAGAAAAAGTACACCATCCTCTGTGATACTGAATGTGATTATCTTACTGGAAATTAATTCAAAGCTGTAATTAATTTCTGTAATAGTAGGGCAATTTTAAAAACTTTACTTGTGTTTATAAGCTATCTACTGTATTCTTGTTACTTGAATTGCTTAAGTAATTTTTAAATTATTTTACATAAGAAACAATATTTGAAAATTCTGAGTTTATACCTTCAGTAATAATTCCAAAATATTAATTTTTGACTCTTAAAAGTCCAATTCAAATGG